TTGTAGTGTAGTGTGTAAGCCGATCCTCCATACAACATGTACTTAGTATTAAGCTTAGGTTAATCAAACAGTATAATATACGCCTTAGTCAAGTCAACACGTCTCATCATTTCATACCCACATTGCATGGCGACCCTGCCAGTACTGCCTTGTGGCAGTGCTGCGAATTGGGAACATGAAAACATAATATTGTGATTCGTAAAAAAAAGTACTATTATTAAAGTGAATATGTTGTGAACATTCTTCCAAGAAAAAAAAAATATAAAGAAATGTCAGGCGAGCGAAATCGCGAGGTCGACGCTGACGAAAACTCAGTGAAGTAGTAATCGGGGTGGATCTGCTCTAAGTCCATCCACATTCAACAAACCCCCAGGGTTTGTGTATTGGCCCCCCAGGGTCGACGCTGACTAGTGGTCAGGCAGCAGATGCAGCAGACTACTCCCAAATGGTGAGAAGACATTGAAATCAGTGTGAGTGTGAATTAGCGTCAGTGATAATGTGAGTGTTCAAAAGGTAAAACTTATTATAATGCCGCGGACATTTTTAGACTTTTTTATTAATTAGGTACGTTTAAGGGTTTCTTTTTAAGTTTTTAAATGTAAAATCATTTCATTATTATAATTAATATTAAAATATATTAAATAGTAATGCTGTTGATAATATAATTAAGTAATTTGGTGTATGCTACCGTATTTTTTTTTCTTAACCGTAATTATATTAGTATGTTATATTGTTTATGTTATGTTATAATCATATATATTTTACTCAATGCTACAGTAAATTTTGTAATTAATAAATATATGTTCCCATAACATTCTCAGGTGTGCCGTATCATATAATGCACGCGCTGCAATTTTGATGATGATGTCATGCAGTTCACGTGTGGCATCAATATTTTACATTGGGTATCATGTGTCTTTCTGTGTAACCAACGGATATGGAACTGTCGAGTAGATAATTATGTTCCTTAACGTTATGTAAAAAGGTATCAAGTTTTAAAAGAACTTTGTCAACCTATGATTATCTTTTAATCTGTCTAGATAAAGTTATAAGAGAGTGTAAAATAGGATTTTGTAAAGGTTTTTTGAAAAGTGGTATAGGATTGTTTTGAGGATAAGTTTTTAAAAATTGTTTGGTATGATATGGTGTTAAGTAGTTGGGAATCGTTTGGTAGGCAAGACTCTGTGCTGACGTCATCGGACTGATCACCCGAGAGTGCCAGTCTTGTAAACCAAGTTATTTATTTTGTACGTGTTATATTTACGTTGTGTTTGGAAAGCTAATGTTTATGAAAATGTGGTACACAAATTAAGAAGTAGGTACTATAAGGACAGATCCTTCCATTTGATCATGGTGTCGGACGAGCTTCCCTCCGTGAAAATTGTTGGAAACTAAAAGGTTTTAAACACTGAGCCTTATATAAAAAATAAAGTCGACTGTAAAAGTGAGTAATGTACTTCTATAAAGTAAATAATATAATGAATGAATAATAAGAAGACCTGAGGAGGTCCGAATAAAAATATGTGTACCATAATATAGAGAATATAAAGATGTTGATGATGAAAATGAAATGGAAGAGTATCGAAAGTAGGTAATATACTATTTTGTTTAAAAGAGTTTTGTTTAAAATAATAGGATGATTAAAAAATTGAATTGAAAAGACATTAAAAATTGTATTTGTAGAAGATTAAATGTAATATGGAAAGTGTTAATGATAATTATAGGTATAAAGATATATTTTTTTATAGTATAATGAAAAGCTTTCAACTGAATAATCTAATGACAGAACTTGAAAAATAATGTGCTTTTATAGGTAATCTGAAGTTTTTTTTTTACCAATTATTTTAATGTATTTGTAATGTACCTAATTCATAAATATATATATAATAATGTTGTAAGTTATCAACAGTGGCATTTCCTTACAACCAAATAAAAATTAGTTGCAATAAGCATATTTCAACATTTTATTCAATCTTTTGATGTATTAAAAAAAAAAAAACAGAATTGTATTTTTTTTCTTTTATTATCGGGGGAGGTGTAGTGTGTAAGCCGATCCTCCATACAACATGTACTTAGTATTAAGCTTAGGTTAATCAAACAGTATAATATACGCCTTAGTCAAGTCAACACGTCTCATCATTTCGTACCTACAAACCCCCACATTGCAGTAGAACATATCTTATATATAAAAATGGATCGCAAAATATGTTGGTAAGCGCATAACTCAATAACGCCTGGACCAATTCTACTGATTCTTTTTTTTTGTTATGTGTGTTATTGTAAGGAGTAGGTTCTTATGAAAGAAAATTTTAGAAAAGTAGAGGGGAGAGTTGGGTGATAAGGACGCTTTCATCGTAAGCGAGATGATGAGACCCGTGCGAAGCAGGGGTGTATGTATGTAAAAAAAGTCAACGCTTTACATAGAAAACTGCGCATACGCAACCACACCGGCGATGCGCAGTCGTCATACTATAAGAACTAATGAAAACGTACCGCGCTAACGCTGCACATCGCGTACGTTAGAACATACATGTCACATGACAGCGCAATTTGGAGTACTTAACTACTTAGTCTTCGAAAAACGTTATAATATTTCCTTTCATAAAAAAAAAAACAAACTTCAACAAAATTGTCTAGAAGATAATAGCATTTATAGGTAACAAGATTAACCTTGTGTACTAGTAGCGACCCAATTCACCTTCTCACGGGTGCAATGCTAATATTAAATTTCTCCACTGTTTATCAAAGGATGTTATCTATACTAATATTATAAAGAGGTAAAATTTGTAAGTTTGTATGTAGGGGGTAATCTTTGAAACCGCTGGTTGATTGCCAAAATGCTTTCACTGATAGATAGCTACTATGTTCCTGAGTTCTATAGGCTATAAAACATCACGCTAAGATTAAATGGAGCAGAGCAGTGGGTGAAACCGAACGAGAGTAGCTAGTTATACATATACCTAAATCTTCCTCTTCAATCACTCTATTTAAAAATCCATTGCATAGTGAGTAAGCGAACATAGGGAGTGTAGTATGTAGGGACAGAGAAAGCAACTTTGTTTTATACTATGTAGTCATTATTGATAAAACTATAAACACAAATGTTTTACCACCTTTTATGACAAGACACAGAAACTTGTGAGTGACTATACTCCATTAAAGTAACCAGATTTTCCCTACACACCTTCCTGCCCTTGACCTAAGTTAGTTGGGATTGGTGCAACATGACTTTCGTTTCTATTCTCTTCAATAATGCGTCATTCAGTCATTCATACTTCTTTTTTATCATCAATTTCTCGTCGCTAAACTTCCTAATTGACTTTACTGTCCTGTGTCGTAAATATTATCAAATCAAATCAAATTTATTTGTAAAACATAGGTATTCATTACATCATGGTGGTGGGTAAACAATATTTGGTCGCTATGTTTTGCCGTGTAGGCGTACAAATTTTTCACATATAATTAAAATAAAACAATACAACTAAAAAAGAAAAATTAATTAAAAACAAGGAAAAATAAAAAACTATGTTTAACGAAAAAATAAAAATTAAGAAACACAAATAGGTAGGTACAGCAGTCTTACTAAATCTCAATATTGCACACAAAATAGCTACTAAAAAATATCATTAATAAATTCTTCAACTGTATAATAACACTTATCAATTAACAGTGAGTACAGGGATTTCTTAAATTTTAATAGAGGCATGTTTTTTATTTCGTTAGGTATTTTATTGTAAATTTCAGGTGCCATACCAAAAAAACTCTTTTTCATTAACGCTGTTCTGCATTTTATGCCGTACAACTGATTGATGTATTGAGATCGCATTGGAGTCTTTTTGATCTCTGAAAATTGTTTAAATAGGTGTAAATTGTTTTTAACAAACAAGGCAGTCTCATATATGTACATACCTGGCATTGTAAGTAATTTTAAAGATTTGAAAAGGGGTTTACATGATTCTGTAGTTTTTAAGCCACACATCGACCGAATACATCGTTTTTGCGCTTTAAAAACGGTCTCTCTTTCAGTTGATTGCCCCCAAAAAATAACACCAAATCTTAGAATTGATGCAACTAAACCGTGATATGCTATTAAGAGTGTGTGTATGTTTACCTGTTTTGACAGCTGAAATAATGCATATGCGGATTTATTTAATTTCAGACAAATTTCTTCGATATGGGGTTTCCACGTTAGTTTGCTATCGATTGTTACACCTAAAAATTTTGCTTTGTTAGTATCCTCTAGTTTGCAATTTTCATAAGTGACTTGAACTGTAGGTTTTTCACATCTTTGATGAAAATGCATTACTTTTGTTTTTTTTAAATTAATCACTAGGTTGTTGCTATTAAGCCAGTTTATCATTTTATTGAGACAGTCATTAATATCATTCTCATAATGGACAGGACTAGTACACTTTACAACAGCTGTACTGTCATCGGCAAATAGAACCATATTATGAGATATCACATTTGGAAGATCATTTATATATATTAGAAAAAGTAGCGGCCCTAGCACGCTACCTTGAGGAACCCCGTATTTTATAGCTCTTGGTTGAGATTTGTAAATGGTTACTAAATTGGTTTTTGAATTATTACTATGATTTTTACAATAGGTATTAGTATTATTACAATGAGGTTTTATATTTTGAAGTCAAAAAAGTATTGCAATTTTATTGAAGAAATTCTGCCCAAACAGGCCAAATTATGAAACAGAAATAGGTTCACCTCTATTAGAGTAATGTAAAATTAATCTATATAAAAAAAAATCGCAAGAAACGTTGGTAAGCGCTAATTCTATAACACTTGGGCCAATATCACCAATTCTTTTCTTGTTGTGTTTACCATAGACAGGTAAGGCTTTCATTAAAAGAAAATTTCAGAAAAGTAGATAGGAGATTAGTAAATGTCGTTTGCGAAATGCGAAACAAGGGCGGGCTGATATACTTAAAGTATTCTGTGCCATTATATATGTTAATAAGTAGGTAATCATTAATTTAACTCACCATATCCATTACAGGTTCAACACGAACAGTTTCGTTGATAGCCGTGGTTCTCAATAAATGCATATCATGATCTTCCTTTATCACCATTTGATCTTTGCGTCCACGAAACTGTTTAGTACCGCTAGAGTGACTTCTGGTAGGACTTTTTGGGGTCGCTCCGCTGCCGAGGCTAGCGACGGCCGATCCGTACGAATAGCCGATTCCCGAGTTGTCTTTGGCGCGTTTCGTGTTTGTTGAGAGGTATGATAAACGGCTAAAAACAAAACACAAACGTTTAAGTATCATAGAATTTATAATATGAAGTACTTTTGAGTGGGATGAGACTAAAACCTGTCAGTTATGGACTATCGTATCTGTAGTTCGCAAAATGGGGTCGAAGGAGCTTGACTGCACGGTTGGCGAACTGGCTGCTGTGCAACGAGTTTGATTCCCTGATGGTACAATACTTTGCGTGATTCACAAACTGTTGGTTGGCTTTAAGTGGCCCTTGTATCTGAATTTGTATGTTTATACCCGCATCCACAACCCATGAGTTTTTTAAACATAAAGAAATAAAGCTTTTCCTCTGAATTATTTGTATTTGAGATCATAAGAACCTCCCTTGTTTACACCTATACTTCAAAGTATTTCAAAATTCCTAAACAAATAAAGCAGAATCAACCAATAAAAATGTTATTCTTAAAGATAAAATTGAAAATAAAATAAAATATCGCGTGCTGCATGTGCGCGTGTACCATCTACAAAGTAATACTTAGCTAAACTGTATATCAGAATGTCAAGGTCACAAAAAAAAATATATCAGCCGGTCTATCTGGGAGGTAAAATTTCTCATTCGTGCCGAAGCATGGCTCTCTCATGCTTAACTCTTCAAGTCGTAACTTCTACAATCAAAGCATGATATTAAAAAACACCTTATCTTTCTTAGGGTTCTGCATTCTAACAACTTCAAACTATGAAACATGAAACGTTTCATAATTAATTAATATTAAAATTGGATCCTACCTCATTTCATATTTTACTATATTGGATACCATTACAAGAGACAATTGGGTAGTTTCCTAGGTCAAAAATAAATTAATTCGACGTTTTAATACGATAAAATATTGAAAAATAACTATACTTTTATTCATCGATCGATCGATACACTAAGTTTTAGATATTTTTTAGCTAATTTTTTTAAAATAAGTACGCTATTTGACGCAAAAATGCTATGATGTCATAATTCAATGTTTCATACAATTTTCATAGAAAAGTATCGTTTTTGACATTTGGATAAAAGTATTGAATTTGACTAGTTGGAAACAACCGTATTGGAACAATTTAAATGAGTTAATCAATCAGCATAAGACTAATAACGATAGATATTAGGCCTCTATATATATTAAGAGAGAACAATAACATTCTATAATTTTTGTAGTCACCAAAAAATACACCCTACATTTGATATAAATCTATAATATAACGCGCGTCATTGCCAAATGTTAGTTATTCAATTGCAATAAATCAAAATGAAATATATTTCACAATATAAACAATTATGATTTTAGCATAACTTTTATTGTTGCACTATGAATATTTTATCATGTAAAAGAAGAATCATCATAAAAAAATATTTTCAATGTAATATTATATTTGTAATAAAGAATTGTATTTACTGTTATCAAAAACTATATATTTCTTCAAATATTATTTCTGTAGAAGTAGTATGATAGCTAAGATAGCTAAGAACTTTATTAAAGTCTGCATACAGGTGTACAACACACAATAATCCTTTTAACACACTGACCTAGTTATCCACCCAAGCCTGAATGGGTGTAAATATCTAAAAATATAAAGCCCCTACTCAGAGTGGAAATAATAATCTTCATTATAAAGGGTAGGGCGTAATAGCTGGCTGATACATAAATTATACATGTATCTGGTGTGATGATGAAAATTTTCAAATAGTTTTAAAGTAAAAACTAATTATTATCATCAATAACCTATAGAGAGGACACTCTCGGACTATTCCAATACATAATTGATATAATATAAAGTGCTTACTTCCTAGTAAGATAAAATTCAGTGAGAGATATTGTAATAAATATTTTTATATTAAGGCCAGGCACATAATACATAACAAAAATATGTAAATATTATCATCCCAACTTCTTGCAAATTACACCTAAACCATACAATATTTACTTATGCCTACCTAAAACATTATAACACCCAGATCACACGGAAGAAAAGGAATGAAGCCCCATGGATGTACCTATTTAATTTCATACTCCTTGCAGTTTATCACTACTCATTGTAAGCTCGTCAGTCATTGAATACATATACATAAATAAAAGCATGTGTATAACCTATAAAGACAACACAATCTGCCAAATACATGTAAAGACTTCCTCATTGCAAAATTACAATGAATTGTAGTTATATTACCATAAACTGTAATTAATATTACCTAATAATCCCTGTGATCTCACAACCAATATTATGCTTAACACATTTATCACTTATAAATGGCATTTCAACATGCACAAAGGACTAATAATATTGTGTAACACAAATTTATTCACAAAATTAAACTTTCAAGTGTTCCATTACATGCAAAATAATGTTATTCAATTAATCAATCGCTGTTTCCTAGCTGATAACATTGGTTCCCACAGTGCTGATAACAGATAAAAATAACAACTTACTTATCATAGCCTGCCATTGGAGATCCAATACTATTATAACTGCAGAACAAATTGTCAGATTCGCTAGCCGCTCTTTGTCTTCTGCGTCCTTCCATCATACATTTAGAATCTGGCTGTGGCCTGTTTTTGGGTTTCTTGAGTATACCATGAAGTGGTGAATTAGGTAATGGGTTATTGAGTATTGATTTCAAAGGCTGTTTTGTTGCCTGCACTTCCATCATTTCTTGATCAACTTTTTCTAGTAGTTCTTCAACTTTCGGTAATCGGTCATCAACTTTAGTATTGGATAATGTTGTTACTAATAATGGTCTGGTAGGACTTTTTCGGTATAATTTTGATCTTCCTGGCTGGTAACTATAAAGAAAAATCTCATGTTATTGGAGTACATTTCTAAATAGTTAATCAGGAAACATAACATAAGGCTAGAATATACTGCCTGTGGTTCAGAACAAATCAGTGTTGATATAAGGTTAGATAACCCAGCAGTGTCAAAGCACTACAAGTGTTTAGGTTATGTTTATATGAAGCTCACCCATAGAACCTGTCGTGCTCGTGGGCCATAACGTAGTCGCCGTTCTCGGCAGCTGGTAGCGAGCACTCGTGTCGAAACCGTGCAGCTGCGTACTGTGGCTCGCTGTTATTCAACGTGAAATGGCTCTTGTTGGGCAGGGCTCGATGATATCGACAGTTACCGTCCGCAGAGCGGTTTACCTCGCGACTTACATCTTCATAAGGCGAACGGTCTATACCCTCACTACGGCACCGACGCCGTAATATGCGTGCTGGCTCTCGGCTAGACCAATCCAGGACTGAGCCCAAGGGATCGCACACGTCTAACCCGGCTTCGTAGCTTGGGCACGCTCGCCTACTATCCATATCCGACCCGCCTAATCGCGACGCATCGTCGAATGTCCACATGGATTACGCACCAGGAATTTCACTATTGCACTGCTAATTTTACTGAGAACCACTGAAACATGAACTTATATCGGCGTCGATGAAGCCAGGAGGCGACAGGTGACAGATCGCCATTCGACAACTACAGTACAACGTGCCAGGACTCCCGCCAAAATTGAAAGAAAATTATGTTCTTTTTACAAATAAATAAGCAAACCTTCAAGAATGGATACTCCTACACGAATTACGCATTGACACAGTCACACACTTTGCACCGTTAATTTAATAATGCCCATAGTAATGGCGATCGAGGTACACTCAAATCATCTAGTTTTTTCGGCTGTTGTTTACCTATTTTGATAAACAAACACTTTGGAATGAAGTTTAAGCTTACTGTATTGATTTGCTGTAGTGTAAAAATTTACTAAACTGTGTCGCATATAGTATTGATCTGCTATGAGGTATATTGAAAAGAAATTTTAAACACTTGATAATTTATTTCTTTCTTTACACAGTACACACATCACATAATAATAGCTTGACTAGAAAATAACGTCACAGGCTGATTTCTTGCTGTCTCTTTTTAGTCACATGGTTTTGTAGTTTGCTAGAAAGAGAGATCCTATTAGTTCGCCATACTGCCGCTATTATATTTAAATTTGTTTGGTTGGCAAATACGAGTTTTCATTGAAGATTTTGATGATTTGAAGCTCATGGTTTCAATATTTATTTGATAACAAACCCATTAATGGGCGTTAAATAATACATAAAGATTTCAAAAAAAAATAAAAATATTTAAAAACATATTTCACAAGCAAAATTATCATCAGTTTCATTTTCATTTAAAAAAAGATTTCAATAGTATACAGGCTTTGACCGCCTCTAAATCCTCTAATTGATGTGAATGAAACAACAACGAGCACTTCGCGGTTCGCAGTTTAGATAACAACAATTAATAAGTACACTTTAAAAAATAATGAGAATGCGGAAGACGGGAGTAGAGGTATATTTTGTAGAAAATAGTTTACATCCAACAACAATTTTATCATCTAAGACAGACGTAATAAATATGATCACGATTTTACGTTAGGTACCTACTAAATCTGTATTTAAATTGCCCTTTTGTTCAGCATTGTAATTGTAACATTTAAAGGCGTCCACTATTGGATTGGACAAAGGCTATTTAATAAGGTCGTTAGTCCAAAGAGAATATAAGCACTATATTAACGTTAGTCTTCTACGTCGAAAGGCAACTCATTACTCGCATCCTGGGCCTCTTTTTTTTACTTGCTATAAACTAATAAAGTTAATAAAGGTTTTTAAAGAAATCAAGATTAAATCAACTGAGGACCTTTGGGGACTATCGGTGAAAGTCTGCGGATCACTTATCCGAACTTTAGCGCCGTATCTGGCTTTGATTTTCAATAAAAGTATAGATGACGGTGTCTTCCCCAACCTAATGAAATACAGTAAAGTTATTCCATTATTCAAAAATGGTGACACTAAGGAACCAAACAACTATAGGCCTGTGTCTGTTCTACCGGTTCTTAGCAAAGTGTTTGAAAAGTTAATGCTATCTCGGATGCTTCATCACTTTGATAAACATGCCATCTTTCATCACCAACAATACGGTTTCACTAAAGGTCGTTGTACAACTGACGCCGGTGTCACTTTGATAAAGGAGGTATTCGGTGCTTGGGAGGAAGCACAGGATGCTGTTGGTGTCTTTTGCGACCTCTCAAAGGCGTTCGATTGCGTTGATCATGAAACACTCTTGCTGAAATTAGATCATTACGGGATTAGACATACTGCACTCCGTCTACTAAAGTCATATTTAGAGGATAGGCAGCTGAGAGTTCATGTAGGTGGTTCTAACTCACGGGGCTCTGAGATAAAAATTGGCGTACCGCAAGGTTCAATTTTGGGTCCGTTTCTCTTCTTAGTTTATGTTAATGACTTGCCATTTCTATTTAAAACCGAGCCAAGAATGGTGCTGTTTGCAGATGATACATCATTAATTTTTAGAATAGGTCGACGTGTTAATAATTTGGACGAAGTAAACAGCTCCATTCATCGAGTTCATAATTGGTTTACAGTCAATAATTTAGCACTTAACGAGAAAAAAACAAAATGTATTAAATTTAGCTTGCCCAACGTACACAATAATGATTGTGACATAATTTTAAATGGGCAAAAGTTAGAATTTGTTAACGAGACTATGTTCCTAGGTATTACGCTAGACAATAAACTTCAATGGGGTTCCCACATAAAGACGCTTTCGGGAAGACTGAGCTCAGCTGTTTTTGCAGTTAGACAGATTAGACAGCTCACAGACGTGAACACAGCAAGGCTTGTTTATTTTAGCTATTTTCACAGCATTATGTCGTACGGAATTTTGCTATGGGGTCGAGCTGCGGAAGTAGATTCAATATTTATTTTGCAAAAGCGGGCTATCCGAGCGATATATAACTTGTCCCCTCGTGAATCTCTGAGAGAACTATTTAAAACGATAAATATCCTAACGGTACCTTGTCAGTTTATATATGAAAATATTATGTACGTAAGGAAAAATTTGCAATTATTTGAAAAAAGAAGCGATAGACACAATTTTAATACTAGAGGCAAAGATAGGCTGGCTGTGCCACGATTCCGCCTGTCCAAAGTACAGAAATCCTTTATGGGGTTCTGTGTAAATTGTTACAATAAAATTCCAAGAAGTGTATTAAATCTTAATGAACGAAAATTTAAAACTTATATTAAACGCGAATTATGTAGACAGGCATACTACAAACTTTCAGATTATATTGAGGATAAGAATGCCTGGCAGCATGTTGGTTCGGCTCCACTGGACAATTCTCAAATATGTAGTCAGTAGTTATTAAAATTCTCAAAATTAATGAAACCTTGAATGAGTTTATATAGAAGCATTCTTTTGGATTGTGAGTACGCATATGTGAGCGCCATGTACGAGACAACAAAGGATTAAAATTTTAATGATAGATTAAATAGACCATAATTTGTTCCTTTTTATTAACAACTTGTCTCTGCATTGTTCTTACATAGGGGTACAGTAATGTATAAAAAATGTATTATTGATGAATTGTAAAACAAATATTTTTTTTAAAAAGAGTAACGATGGAGTTTCTTGCTCGTTCTTCTCCATTCGAAACTACAATTTGGAACGAGCACCTAGCTTCACTGACGAACAGACTGACAGACTACTATTCTATTTTGACGTTTCAAAAGTACCTATTTATGGTTTATTTGGAATAAATGATTTTGATTTGATTTGATTTGATTTGACTAGTGCTTGACTGCGATCCCACCTGATGGTAAGCAGTGACACAATCGTTGATTGTAAGGCGCACTAGTTTATTAGAGCCTATTCACTCTAGCCTTGAAGACACCTAAATTATATTCGGACGGAAAGACTGCCGGCAAACTGTTCCAATCCCTCGATGTACGTGGTATAAATGACGAGGCAAAACGCTTAGTCCGGGCCGCAGGTGTCTCAACAACGTAAGGGTGGATAATTGCCGTACGCCGGGATGTCCGAAGGTGAAATTGGGATGGCAGAATCAAGTCGTGCAATTTGTTCACACACTCTCCAAAATGCATCCTGTAGAAAACCGCTAGGCTGGCTAATCTGCACCTGTGCTCGAGACTTTGAAGATTGGGCCCAACCAAATCTGGATCACCAATCAGCCTCTTTGCACGCCTTTCCATTGAATCCAAAGCAGCTATGTGGCATTTTGCAGCACCAGCCCAATCAGGCTCTGACAATGTCGTCGGTCCACCATGCGGAAAGCCTACTCACGCTGTCTTCCAGTGGGTGGTAGCAATTCCAGCATTATAGTGGCCTACTGGCCGTCCGGCCTAAGAGCTATGAAGCTTACTCATTGCTAATTTAGCTTGCAGATTTTAAGAACTACATATGGCAGTAATTCTGGTACTTTGGTGAACGTACGCTACATATGTCAGTTATTCTGGTACGATGGCATTGACGTGCCGAATGGGTCGGCTCGACCGGAGTGATACCTCAGGCTCAAAGGCTCCTCCGTTATATCAAATGTCCATGAACGGCGTCGATTGCTTACCATCAGGTAATCTGCCTGCTCGCTTGACACCCTATCACGTAGAAAATTTAGTCTGTAACTAGCTACTACGCAGGGACGCCTCACCCAGTGCAGGAGTCACTAAATGATACTCCACCTTTAATAAAAGAGGAGATTACTATAAACTAATCAAAGTCTTACCGTCAGACACCACACATACAATATACAGCTATTTTATATGACAAATACAGTGAAACTTGGTTAAGTGGGACCTGGATAAGTGAGAAACCTCCATAACTGGAACTCATGCTGAGGTCCCAACACTTTGGCACTGAATTACCTCTGTTAGTGGGACGAGGCAAACCTGTATATCTGGGATTTGTTCTTTCGATTTATCATCATAGTTGCCTCTATAACTGAGACAGCGAGTAAATTTTATATGCATAAACCTCTGTAACTGAGATAACATTGTTTGTTTACTAATTCTTATTCTACCCACAAATTCGACACGTAATTCCAAGTACGTAAGTACAAATTTAGAGCTTCAATTTACCTTCAGTTTTAGTTTTGCTTTACTATGATACAGATATTTATTTGAAAAATGCCAAAACGAAAGCTACAATCGTTATCATTACGTGAAAAACTGAAGTTAATATCCGTTTATGAAAGTGGGAAGACACGCGAAGAAGTTTGTGCCGAATTGAATGTGCCAAAATCGAATACATTTGTATGATTACCTTTAACTACTATTTTTTTTTATTAAAACTAATTTACATACATAACACGTTATTTTATTTAATGATCGCACCTGTATAACTGAAAAAACCTGTATTCTCACCTCTATGAATGGAACCCTCTGTAAATGAAACAGATATTTATTTATACTTGTATATCTGAGACACTGGGTAAGTGGAATACCTCTATAAGTGAAACGACATTGCAGGTCCCTTGATGTCTCACTTAACCAGGTTTCACTGTACTTATAATATAATTACGACTCCCATGTAAAAGGGGGTGAGCTTTCGGTCATACACCGAGAAATATTTTAGACTGCTACCGCTGAACTGCTATTTATTAACAGTAACATTCTGCCCGAGCATCCAACCCACGACGCCTTTCTCGACAGTCGCAGTTGTTAGTTGCGGACCGCTCGACCAATCGGTTCTTATATATTAGTTGATCCATTGAACCTATAGCTTTTTTATGTCATGACCCGCAAATGAGCAGCCGGATTACCTGATGGTAAGCAATCAGTTCCGGCCATGGACAGTCGTAATACCAAAAGAGGTACTACAAGTGCGTTGCCGACCTCTTGTGGGTCATTAGGGTATCGATGGAATGGATCGGGATTTGATGGAACTTGCTGCCATGTCAAATTACTGACTATTGACGGTTCCCGGGTCAGGGAACCGTCAATAGTCAACAGTGTGAAACCGCAGAAGCAGATCCTTCTTGACGTGACGTCTAATAACATGATAGGTA